AAGATATTAGAGGGGAAAAAAAAGATATTAGAGGAACTGCTTGGCCGGTGTGATTCAGTGGTTGAGCATCGACCTAAGAACCAGGAGGTCACGGTTTGATTCCCAGTCAGGGCACATGCCTGGGTTTAGTGCTCGATCCCAGTGTGGGACATGCAGAAAGCAGCCAATTGGTGATTCTCATCATTGATGTTTCTATCTCTTTCTCCCTCTCCTCTGAAATCAATAAAAATATATTTTTTAGTGATTGTGGGTGGGGATCTTAGACTTGTACATAATACTGTTTATTTCTGTAGCTTGTTTTTATATTCATTTGTAAAGTTGAGGATTTTGTTCTTTATTAACAGGATTTCATATAATAAGCCCCATAAAGTCGAATAGGTGTAAAAGAATGAATCTTTAAAATGCTGGTGAAAAGAGAGAAGTAATTATGATGGACACAAACATGAAGAATTGTTTTTTAAGTGTTGAGGAAATATTAAATGGTTCTTTTAAGTTAATTAAATTAAAAATAAGAAAGGCTTTGAAAGGAAGATCACAAATCACTCAACATGGGACAAGTACTATGTGATTGTAAATAATAGAAACTGAGGAAAAGCAATAATAAAAAAACTCTTGCTAGCTAAGGGTTCATCGTGAACTCTCCATAATCCTTAGTCTAATGTTAACTGAGGAGAAGATACAAGTTTGTTGGAAAATAGAAGAGTTAAGGTACTGATTAAGTGTTTATTTCAATCCATGAAAGATTCCATAGATTTAAGGCCTAAACTTTTATCCATACTAGCTCAGTAAAGATTTCATAAAAATGGCATTTTAACTCTACCGCTACCAGAGGACATCAGTGATTGTGGGTGGGGATCTTAGACTTGTACATAATACTGTTTATTTCTGTAGCTTGTTTTTATATTCATTTGTAAAGTTGAGGATTTTGTTCTTTATTAACAGGATTTCATATAATAAGCCCCATAAAGTCGAATAGGTGTAAAAGAATGAATCTTTAAAGTGCTGGTGAAAAGAGAGAAGTAATTATGATGGACACAAACGTGGAGAATTGTTTTTTAAGTATTGAGGAAATATTAAATGGTTCTTTTAAGTTAATTAAATTAAAAAATAAGAAAGGCTTGAAAGGAAGATCACAAATCACTCAACATGGGACAAGTACTATGTGATTGTAAATAATAGAAACTGAGGAAAAGCAATAATAAAAAAAACTCTTGCCGAAACCGGTTTGGCTCAGTGGATGGAGCGTCGGCCTGCAGACTGAAGGGTCCCGAGTTTTATTCCGGTCAGGGGCATGTACCTGAGTTGTGGGCACATCCCCAGTAGGAGATGTGCAGGAGGCAGCTGATCGATGTTTCTCTCTCATCGATATTTCTGGCTCTCTATCTCTCTCCCTTCCTCTCTGTAAAAAATCAATAAAATAATATATTAAAAAAAAACAAAAAACTCTTGCTAGCTATGGGTTCATTGTGAACTCTCCATAATCCTTAGTCTAATGTTAACTGAGGAGAAGATACAAGTTTGTTGGAAAATAGAAGAGTTAAGGTACTGATTAAGTGTTTATTTCAATCCATGAAAGATTCCATAGATTTAAGGCCTATTCACATCTCTAAGACAGGAGTGGGGAACCTTTTTTTTTTTTTTTTTTTTTTTTTTTTTTTTGCCAAGGGCCATGTGGATATTTATAACATCATTTGTGGGCCATACAAATTAGCCTGCTATATTTGGTCAAACATTTAACTCACCCCTACTAATGCCTTGGCAGGGCCAGACCAAATGATTTCTCAGGCCCTGTACAGCCCACGGACCAGATGTTCCCTACCCCTGCTCTAAGATATCAAAATGAAGAACAAAGTAGCAATGACATGCCATAGCTGCTGACTTTCCCCAAAAGTTGCTTGTGGAGACTATTAAGATGGCGTTACCTTTTATAATATATTTTCTGTAAATATAAAACTGTTCTGTTAGAGAAATTATTAATATACACATCCATAAATTACCACAAATATATTTTTACAGATGTTATATAGAATGGTTATGCCTAATATTGAGATTTTGGGTGATGAGTTTACATTCCTATTGGATGCAAACATATTCAGGGAGTAAAACATATACCTCTTTCAGTTATTTTAGGTTCTCAAATTTATTATTTTATTAAGAGCCTTTTGGAATTCATCCTGTTCCAAAATGGAAATTTCTGTCATTTCCCAAATGTCTGTTCTATCTCTTCAATTGTATTGTCAAAGTCCTTCAAGGGCAATGACTATGTTTCTACCTATAACATCTAGTCTCAACGAATGTCTATAGAACAACGAATTTAAACTAAAAATTTAGGTAAATATCAGCAAGACCCAAGAAACTCTTTCACATCTTAATCTTTTTATTTTTCCCCTCTAAAGAAGAGACTACAAAGACAAACCATTGGTGAATCTATATGTAACCAAAACCAAAAGACAGTTAATTGACAGAATCTTTTATGGTTCCACCTATATTTTTTAAAATTCAGTAGTCATTTTCTCTTTTTTTATTGTTTTAAGTGTATATGTTTTGCTAACATATGCTTTAAAGGTATCATGAAAGGAGCAGCACATTTCTCAAACTGATGGTAAAATTAGAACTTTATTGATTTACTAAAAGTGTCCTGGTGCACAGATCTGTGCACATTGAAAGGAAATTAATTAGAAGAAATATTTCAATATAGCTATTCGCATCTTGCTAATGAAAAGAAAATACGATTCTACCAAATCTTCTATCTACCTACTCCAGGACTTCTGTGAGGATCAAATGAGATGAGGCATGGGAAAACGCTTCACAAACATTTGGTTAAACTGTAAAATGTTTGCACCTGGCTATAAAGCAAGTCGGGTTCCTGGGCTGAAGAAACTCCAAGGAGGCTAGTCCTTGGGAGAGAGGAAGGGAGAGAGGAAGCCAGGCGTTGCTACGTGAAGTCATTACCTACGTGAAGTCATTATCCGGCACCCACAGCCACAGTTTTGAGGCTGGGCTGGGCTGTGGGCCGCATTTTGCGCCATAGGGTCTTGGCAGCATTGGCTGCGATTTGGTGGGCTGTCACTCTGGGGTGGTGGCGGGGCCTGTGTCACACTGGGGGAAGCTGAGTGATGGTTTGTTGGCACCAGGTCCGTGGTGCCGTTTATTTATAGATGGCGAATGCGCATCATGGCAGCTCCTGCATTAAGCGTCTTCCCGCTGGTGGTCAGTGTGCATCATAGCTACCAGTCAGACGAGTTGGGTTCCTGGGCTGAAGAAACTCCAAGGAGGCTAGTCCTTGGGAGAGAGGAAGGGAGAGAGGAAGCCAGGCGTTACTACGTGAAGTCATTACCTATGTGAAGTCATTATCCGGCATCCACAGCCACGGTTTCGAGGCTGGGCTGGGCTGTGGGCCACATTTTGCGCTATAGGGTCTTGGCAGCATTGGCTGCAATTTGGTGGGCTGTCACTCTGGGGTGGTGGCGGGGCCTGTGTCACACTGGGGGAAGCTGAGTGTTGGTTTGTTGGCACCAGGTCCGTGGTGTGGTTTATTTATAGATGGCCAGTGCGCATCATGGCAGCTCTTGCATTGAGCATCTTCCCCCTGGTGGTCAGTGTGCATCATAGCTACCAGTCAGACGACAGACACTTAGCCTTATATATATATACTAGAGGCCCAATGCACAAAAATTTGTGCACTCGGGGGGGGGGTGTCCCTCAGCCTGGCCTGTGCCCTCTCACAGTCTGGGACCCCTCAGGGAGTCCACTTGCCAGTGGGGAGCAGGCCTAAGCTGCAGTCGGACATCCTTAGTGCTGCTGAGGAGGCAGGAGAGGCTCCCACCACCAC